AAGCAGTCTTCTGACCTAAACAAACCAAGATGCAAGAAAAGTGAGGTTTCTGTCTTTTCTAGCGATCATACTGAAGGAAAAATGTACAGTGAAGATGTGGTCGGATCATCTACATCAGCGGACAGAGCATCAGTGGTAGCACGAGGATGAGGAGAAGAGGCTGGTTCATCACTGCCGCCGAGGGGGTAGGGCGCTTCCTTTTGGGCCCGTTGCAGAGAGGGGTGTTGCAGCAGGAGATGCAGACTGAGTTGAGCTTGCCGGTGCAGAACTGCTGGTAGCCAGAGGAGGCGATGAGGCAGGCCCCAGAGGAGGCACAGGATTTCCTGTAATGAATCCCTGTAAGACAGAAGAATGTTGAAAGTTTAAGTGTGTCTATTCAGAGAAAGGAGGTGTGTTGTCATCTCTCTTTGAAATGGGTGACTTTGCAAATGATAAAATCAGACTGAAAGAACTCATGAATTTCCCTGCTGTAATTAGATTGAAGATGTACCATAAGAGCCTTGGGTTTTGCAATGTTGCAGTATTATTTTGCAGTATGGAGCTATTGACTTCCTGTCTGCACTTATTAACTGATGATTGTCACTGTGTTATATGCTATTAAAATTGGTATGAAGAAAAAAAAAAACTCATATTTTGCAGTGATGTAACTTTCTTATTGTACCCCAGAGCCACCAACCCAAGTGAGGTTTCTCCATCTGGGATATATTGGTTTTATTTTGTTTCTATAGTAAGTATTCTATCATTCATATAGTGTTTTATTTTGTTATTTATCTTGTGTTCTCGTTTGACTGCAAATTAAATTTCCCCTTAGTGGACAAGAAAAGGTTTTGATTCAATCAAAATCAGTCTTTGCAGGCAGATTGTTCCACTATCCAGGAAGGCTTTTTATTGATAATGGAGGAGAAATTCAATCTGTAAACTGGGCATTGTTCCTCTGTGAAGGTCTTTGTATTTGTGGTTTACAACAGGACATGTTTCTACTGAAAGTAACAGCACTGTGCTCCAGCAAAGTGTAAAATTATGTAGTGTAGAAACACAGATTTGGGTCATAACACAACAGTGTTGTTGCAGGCACTGGACCTGTAAACGTTCACCTACAGGACAGTGGTCTAACAGTCAGGCCACCTGCTCTCTGATCCTTCACAACATTCTGTAACAGTCAATGAATCTGTTTGCTTTTCATACTTGTTTTAACACCACTGGGTGTTCTATGCACCAGATAATGTGGCCTTAACTAGGTAACTAGCTAGTTAACATGCTAATGACTGCAGTTTACATTAGGCCAGTACACACACTGTTTAATCTATCCCTTATACTTTCCCTCTTGATTTCTTTTGTTTTAGAAAACACAGCTATCCAATTTTTTTAGCAAACAGGCAGTTCAACGGCCTACAGGCGGAATCATTTTATTTTCTGTAAGGCAGAGCAAAACTAATCTAACGTTGTGTCAGTAGCAGCTGAAGGAAAGTCTCCTCCTTGACAAATGAGCTGAAGTGTTTCAGTGAGATAGTGTTCGCTGGCATTTTGGAGCAACACACCAACAAGAGGCCTCATATAAAAAACAGCATTAAAATAATCAGAAAATAGGACTTCCATTTGTTTCAGTCAGTTTATGTGTTGTTTAACACAGTAGGGGAAAACTGATGTGTCACATGAAATGATTCTGAACTGCTCACTGCTGGGTCAGTCAGTCAGACCTATGAGCATTAAAAGGATTCTAAAGTGAGGAACAAGGGATAGTTGGGCTTTTTTTTTTTTTGGTGAGGAGGATTTTCTGTCAACAGGTACAAACACCACAGCTCATTTAATTGTTTATGTCAGGCTAATTTTTTACCTGCTGTTGTCCAGACAGTCTTGTTTATGACTGCATCTTAGCTCAGTGCAGCTGACTCATCAGTATTTATGTTCTCTGCATCAAGAAAACTGCAAGTAATTAGTGACTTCATAATGTTGCCTAGCCTCATCTCATCTGAATGCTCTGACGTTGCATGTCTTCTGAACACTATGTGCAGCTCCTCTGGTTTCAGGGCAGACACCTTACTTCTCCTGAGAAATAGGAACTCTGGCTTTTGATTTGTGTTCCTTCAGCTGACCCAGCCTGTGTGCTGGCAACCTCAACTATCAAGCTCTGCGCCTAACCCCATATAAAAACACTGGGTGCATAATCCTCAAAATGAGTTTTTTTGAATAAGAAAATCTAGTTAAATTTATTTCCAGGTCAGCATTATAAAACCCATGACATGACTGACAATGACTGAGGTGCATGTTTCTGTATTTATCCTGGTATTTGGCAATCTTTAGTTATTCTGAGATTAGAAGAAGCTCTTCATATTACCAACAGACATTAACGTTTGCAGCCCAAAACATTATTCTCTTCAATTTGAAATGGTCTGATTCTCACTATTTTAAACAAATGTTTGTGGGTCTTCTTCTTATATCAAGTCTTTTTGTCTTGCATTTACTTCATTTACTATGTTCTTTCTCTTGATTTGTGGAATCAGAAAACTACAAGAAAGCTGTCTTATCCTGTAAACCACTTGTGACTGTACACATATGAAATGCTCACATACTAATGGGCCTCACCATCAGGTTTGACCAGCACCTCCTTCTGGCACATGTCCTGTACATTGACTGTGCAGTTGACGATGTACTCTGGTGTGGAACAGTCATTGTGCTTCATCTCCTCACACTGGTAGCACTGGATCTGAAGGGCATCTCCTGCCCCATTGAGGAGGAAACCAAAGGCAAAGGGAGTGTGTTAGCTAGACAGGTAGCTAATCTTGCCATCACAACACAACAGGGAAAGAAATTGGCTTAAGCTACATTTTTGTTCATCAAATGTGGGATAAAATGCTAAATGCTGTCACAACAGGTTTATGGTTGTTCATTTTAGGGTCAGTTTGGTTACAGGCAATTTTTTTTGGAAATACTCATTTGCTTTCTAGAAGAATTAGAAGACTGATACTATATACTATATACTCTACACCACATATGAAGCTACAGACAGCAGCTCTGTGCTGCGTGATGACATTTAATGTCCCCAACTATCTCTGTAGGTTAAACATCTCGCTCACTGATTAGCTATAGGAGCAGCAATGTGACTGGCTGAAACACATGCAGAAATATAGCCCTATGTGTAAAAGGATGTGCATCTCTTGGATGAGACTGACATATGAAGACTTGTACTCACAACACTGGCTTTCTGCTAGAGAGTGCAGATTTGTGAATTTACTTTTGTGCACAAAGGCCTATAAGTACATTTTTCACTGCACAAGAAAACTTTTAATATCTTAAATTTTAAACCTTAAAACACATGGGTAAATAACATCCAAATTATTTTGGCCTCATATCTTTCAGCTGTTCTGAGTGTCAACAGAGAGGTTATAGAGTCACAAAGTGAAGTGAGAAGCTGTAAAGAGAGAAAAGAACATGTCAGCAAAGTGCAGAGTTGTCCATTTAAATTCTCCTTTAACCCATGAATTTTTATAGGTGATAAAGCTTCATTTGAGTACAAACAGGCAGTTTGAGACTCAACGTGCTCTGGCAGTCTATAGAAGTCTTTAGAAATGGCCCAGTCTATTCTTATCCCTTCAGGTAAAACGTGTCTTCTGCTACATTGTGCTTCTTACAGCTTTGGCAAATTTCACCTGATATTTTTAACACTGCTGGGACGGCCTTTTCCTATTACCTAAAAGCTGAGTGGCTATCACTCACGAAAGGGTTAGACATCTGCAGAAATGAAGCTGAATGACCTAGGTGAAGTAAGTCTAAAGCCTTAGAGTCAATGCTAAGCTGTCAGTGTTGGTTAAAGTGGACAAATTGGCGCTGTTAGAGCTTGTCTGTTAAAGCTCAAAACTGGAAATCACGAAGCATATTTGCAGACCTGCTGTACAATACCCATGTGCAATATATATATTGTAGGCTAGATGATATATTTCCAGTGTCAACTCATTGCTTCATATTTATTGAAGAGGTCTGTTCATTTTACTGAAGATCTCAATGTTTTTTTTCCACTGAAAGCTACAGGAAAATCTGAATACTGGGCTATATTTGCCAGTAAAGCTGTGTTGGATGAAACCATACACTGTTAAATATATACTAAAACATGCCAGGTTCAATTAGTAAGCTATGTTCATCATGGCAACATCATGCAGGCATTCAATCAAAAACCCTAGATCTTACAAACATGTCGGCCCTTCTTTCCTAAACATCCCACACAGGCTATTCGTCCCCACTGACAGATATTACTGGAGTAATTATTGAAATGGCACCAATCATCAATCTTAAGTCCAGCAGCACCATCAAAGCCACTAAAGGTCCACATATAACACCACAACCCCAGTTTAATTACTTTAAAGCAAACACATGCCTGAAACCTCCATTCATCAACAAGGAACTCTTATTTATCTGTCACACTGGCGAGTCCCTAAGCTCTATCAGTTTTAGAAAGTTTCCAAGTTTCACAAGAGAAACAGAAGCTGAAAAATCTAATCTGTGACAGCTCCTGGAACCACATGTGTAACAATTGCTAAAACATCACAATCACGTTTACTGTAATCATTGTTGACACTAAAACAACTAAAAAATCAGATAAAGTTCTAAAAAAAGGCGCCCATGTCCTCATAAAGGGCAAAAAGGAACAGGAAGGCAGCTTCTTCATGCTCTTTCCCAACACAGCCCAGAAGAAAACCCCTCATCCAAAGCAAATGCACCAGAGAAACGATCATGATGTAAGTTTTAAAGGTGTACGTGTCACTAGCTCTTCACATCTCTGTGCCAAAACAGCGCAGCTCCATCAGCGCGCGAAAACAACACCAAAAACGAAACATTTGTGCTGTTGCTACTATCCCCAATTACATTTTTCACAACTTTATTTTACACAAATAAATGTGCTGTTTCGTCTTCACTACATGAGATCAGAAAGAGGACATTGAGATCTGGAGGTCGAACTCACTCGGCACAGACCGTAATAAAACGACTTACTTCATAAATGAAAGGGCGTCAAATAAAGTTACAAACATTTTAGAACAGTATATTTTGGCATTAAGCCGTTTAAAATACCTGTACCATGTATGTAAAGCACGCGCACAATTAAAAAGCATGTAATATTAGTATTTCCCGTCGATTGCGCACGAATGTAAAGGAGATATTAGCACATACTACAATGTCAGCACGTTTGTGGCATGACTCCTGGGGACGTGTGCTCCAAACTGTGCCCTGACACAGTCACTGAAACGAGGCTGCAATCTCACCAAGTTGCACCTACCTGCTTCAAAAAGGATTCCAAACAAAGTCGCGAAAACGAGAAGACGCATTCTCTCCCATATGACGCTCGGAGTGGAAACATCAGACCAAACGAACTTGTTCAGATGGAGGCATGGAGGACGAACCGCCGCGGAAGATGCTCAGACACGGATCCGCTCATCCTCTCGGCTGGACGAGGTGAGAGCTCCGCAAAGTGAATGATCTTGGAGCCAAATCCTGAGCGCACAAATCATAAAGCGCACCACGTGATGGCAGCTCACAGTCGGTGTTTTCATGCCTCTGTGACTTCTCTTCATGCACTGATGAAAAACTAATTATAACAATAGTCCCGTGGATACATTTAGCGCCCACACGTATTGAGCTCAAAGATATTTTTCTAGTTTCATGGTAAAATATAAGCCATATCATTTAGTATTGTACTTTTACAGTTCCTATAGACAAAGCATTTCTATATTAGGGCGTTTGTGCTAAATGGCTTTTACTGCTGTTACAAGAATGTTCCTATAATTCTACACAGATTAGCCTACTTTTCAGTTTGTATGAATTCACCAATTCTGCCTATAGTATAACCTTTTATCAAAGGTTTTCCTGTTGCTACTGACATTCGAATATTTGATGTAGTTTTGCTGACATTTCCAGTTCACAGTGCCTTTCGAAACCATTTTGCTGTGCGTATTTCATTTGGTTATTTCATGACTACGTTTCTTCGGTATATTATTGTATTTCAGCGGGAGTCGCCACTGACTTACCTGACATTTAATAACATCTTCTTTGGGTGTTTATATTAAAGATTTAGAATGACATGTATTTATTTATTTGATGTATTAGCTGTGTAGACGAGTTTTTTCTACCCAAAGCTGCTGGAGTCTGGCAAACACATTGCCAGATCACAATAAACTCAACTTTGAATGTGTTTTCTGATCAATACAACAAATTGAGCTTACTATGGATACACGCATTACTAGAGTGCGCGCTATTGCCTTTATTTATACGCACATATAATTACCCATCAAGAGAAATCCCTCCGCAGTGTGACTGACAGAGTGGGGCGGTGTTTACACTCCTTTCCTTTGGGAGAATGCAAGATTTCGGATTTTGTCCAAACCTTTATTTCCGCATTCAAAGAATGAAGAAATAACTCACCCGGTGACGCACGCTGGCACGTGGACGTCTGTATTGTATATATGTGCATGTTCATGCAAACATATAAATAAAAATACAGACACACTTTGCAACTCAATTTGAAATAGGAAATAGTTTCTCATATTTAATTAGGAAATAGTTACATAAAATATAGCATTAAAGTCTAGTGTAACAGACAAAATTGCACACAGTAATAATAACAACAACAATAACAATAATGACAATTACCAAAGTAACACTGTTGGCAACCGTTTCTCTTTACAAAGGAGCCAGGAACATTTAAGGAGAGAGGTGATGCATGACAATCACACAACAGTCTGACAGTACAAAAGGTGGGTATAAATACTGGACATCTAGAAAAATACACAAGTCCTCTTTAGACTCTCTTCATACAATATTAACAGTTTTATAGAAAAATTGAAACACAGTCAGCTCTGTTCATTAGCACCAGCTGGTCAAATTCCAGATAAAATTTTGGCATAACTCTACCCTAAAGTTCAAATATGTCTTCAAAATAAAGTGATAAAATATTTTAGTGTTAGCACTTATTGATCAAAATAAAAAAACAAAACAAGAACCCCTAAAGATTTCAATAAAAAAAGATACAAGCAATGTTCATACAGTAGACTTAAAACCTTGGTTGAATGATTGGCAATTAATTTACATGTTTTTGTTTAGTTTTCTCATTTGCATATATCAGCCATCAATGCCCATTACGATTTTAACTTATAGCATTTTTATATACAACATAATGTACATCTATGAAAGGAAAACTGAGGTTTGGAAAGTTTAGCTATGCTAGGCCACCATGAGACGACTAACTGGAGTGTGGAGTCACAGGAACTGAAAGAAAGCAAATGATTATTGAAAGTTATCTGTCAACCTATTGCTGCATGACTGCATTTTAATTCTTACAGTCTAAATGAGCCCAGTGTGTTCCCTGAGCTGCCAACAATGACACTGGGCTGGTTGTTCTCTCTAACCTGCGTATCTGTCTGACACTGACACGCCATCTTATTAGCTGTGCTTCACTGAAACACAACACGCTTTGCTTCAGCTGACATCTTCAGATTATCTGCTCTTAAAAATGAGCTTTGTTAGCTGAATGGTGGTAATTGTCATGCCATCTGAGGGAGCATTTTACATTATTTTCTGTTGTGTTTGCCATTATTGGCTGCTTAACAGCTCAAAAGATCACATACAAACACAAGACTGGCAAAAGGATTTACCATTAAAATTAAAGTGAAGAGAACTTAAAGAAAATTTGAATCCCCTTGTGATTTATTTTAAAAATATTGTTTCAAAAGAAGTGAACAGTGATGAACCAGATGTGGACTGTGGTTCCACATGGGCATTTCTTGGACAATGTATTTAGCAGCAAAACATAAAATGACATCTTGGCTTTAGTTTCCTATTCAACAGGAATGCAACTGAAGCAACAACTGTGTTGCAAGTGAAAGCCAGTGTTGCCCTAAGAAGACGCCCTGCTCATTACTGCTTTAATAGCTTTTCACGTTACCCTCCTTACAAATGCTGTACCATATTTGTTACAGTGCAATGAGAAGACGTTCCCCAGCATGGGGACAGAAGATAATGAGAAAATTATGTGTATTGCTGTCAAGTCCACCACATCCAGAGTCAAATTATTACTAGTCCTGGTTGGGTTTAGGTTTCATCCTCGTATCTCCAGCTCCACTAAGTGCTTCTTGTTGTTTGTAGAGAGAACAGAGCTCCTTACGATGGGGCAGAGTTCTAGTCTACAGTATGTTTGCCCAGTTGGAGTCATCTTAAAGACCAGATTACTTGAGCATCCGCTCTCTAGGCCTCCCTTCCACATCCAATCAATGCATGGAATTTTAAGAAGAAGAAGAGAACTCCAAAAAGGAAAGAAAAAAGCTGGCAACAGCCAAAAGCATGACAAGTCTGAGATGTTAGAGGAGCGTCCTGCCTTCTGACTCTTTGCCCCTACACGTCATTGGAGCCCTGACTGGTGCAGGACGAGAAGCTGTCGTAGAGAGAGTCGCTCAGGGAGCCCACAGGATCCGCCCCAGGCTTGCTGGAAAAGCTGGAGGGGGATGGCTCACCCACCTTGCAGCAGTCCTCTGTGTTCCTCCCTGCATTGGTGTGGCATTCACCTCTGCAGCCACCTGAGCCTGTGTCCGGATAGGGGCCACTGCTGCTGGAGCAGCTGTGATTCAACTCGTTCAGGGACTCTAAAGAGAAGTCAAGAGAGCCCGGCTGGTTCACACTGACAGGCGTCTTCTCCATGGCAAGCTCCTTCTGCACAGAACAAAAGAAACGCAGATCAACAGAAAGCACAAAATATGTTAATTTATGGTGAAGAAGTTTGATTTGTTGCATGCTAAGTTATGATAAACGTGTGCTGCACTGTTAATAGTTCCATCTCATGCCTGTGGAACTCCACACTTACGTACTTCTGTGGACAGATACAGAAAGAAGAGCAACCACAGAAGTAACTCTGGAACTCATCTCATTTGCAATTCTGTGATGCAAAGCAATAAGACTGATGCCACTTGAGAGCATGTCAGTGATCTACAGTACAATGAGATTTTTATCATGCTCAAGGACCAAATGTACAGTATGTCTTAGGTGCTGGAAGGCATCTGAGCACAACCACTGTTATCTCAACTGTGACAGTCTGCTTTGTAGATTAGCATATAGGAATGTGTTACTCAAGGGAAATGTTACGTTTAAAGCTGCTATCTGTTAACACTGCTTCAATTAGCAGGGGTAACTTCACCCTGAATGTGCTGATGATTAGAGTGACTAAATGTGCTTGCAGTCGTGACAGTTCAGAAGGTATTAAAATTGAAAAATCATATTATTGTAGGTGTTATCTCTGGATCAGATTGTGCAATTACATCCGAGGCTGCTGGCCTTTCAAGGGTGCATGCCTTCAAGCAACTCAGCAGCAATTACACTCAACAGCAAAAGTGCAAAGGCCTGCATTAACCAGCTGCTACTTTACGCTCACATGATTTTATGACACATCACTGCTAATCACCTACAAGTCAGATCTTAACCACAGAAGGAAACAAAGCAACACATACTCCTAAAAATAATCAGTTGTTATTGAGAATGTGTCAACTGATTGACTATTCTATGTTACTTCAGATCTCAAAAGACGCTTTAATAAGCTAGTTACTATGGCAATCAAAACTCCTAAAACATTGTAAACAAATTATCAGGGTAGCTACATTTCCCTTCAGCAAATCTACACAGATAAGTACAGAGAGGAAGAGCTGGAGGGTTCAAGCAACCTCTAGAGATGCTCCAAACCTGGACCATTTAGGATTTTGCCTTAAGGCGAGTCTCAGACATAAACCCAGAGCTACTCCACACAAGAAGGATGAACACATAAGCATGATGGCATCAGCAACATGGATCTGAATGCTGTTAGAGCAGTAAAAAGTATCTACATGTCTACATGGGGTCTATGCAAAGTACCAACAAAAATGAGAAGTGATTTATGTAAATGTGTGTGCACTTATAAAAGACAATGTCTAACATCTGTGATTTACATTGTATTTAAAACTTAAGATGTTGAACTCACAAGCCAACCATTAAAAAAAACTTCATCTACACATATTGTAATGCAGAATCAGCCTTACACCCTCAAATCCCAGATCCCCCATAATGCGCACTGATGTGACCTTTAGTAGAAATGTTGACATGTGACTCGTATGAAATGAAACGATGAGCAGGGTTTTGCAGGTGTGGAGGCTGAGTGAAAATTAAGCACAGGTGCTGAATGCAGATTAGACTTGTTGAATTTTAGTTTAACACCCACACACAGCTGTCTGCAACATCACCATTTTATGTCACATTATTGTCAGCCATAAAGAATGGTGGTTTAGAGCCTTGAGAAATTAAAGTGTGCATGACATGATGAAGATCTGTGGTTAGCAGTGAGCAATCTTCAGGTCTTATATCTCTTTTGGTTGAAACAGGAGGAAAGAAAGGGCAACGGCTGCCTTATCGCTGATTGGATTTGATTTTGGAGGAACACAATTACCAGCAGATCGAACCTTCCTGGTGCAGGTCTCTGTATCACCTGTGGGCACAGCCAAAATGATGGCTGCACACATAAGTGAGGCTGCAGGCTGACATCTCAGTGAGAACTTCCCGCTTGAAAACACGAGGGGCCAAATCGGCAATTGGTTCTGCAACAACACGTCAGTAATGCGATGTCTGAACTCAGATTCAGTAGACCTGCTAGAAAAGCTTACTGAAAGGCTCTTTTATTGTGACTCGAGCCCGACATACAATATTTCCCTTTGCTGTTATATATTCTCTCTTCACTTTGATGTTTTTGACTTGTACAGATGGTCAAATATTGCAGATTCTGAATGAACTTTAAACTTTTAATCCTTAAGATTTTAAATAAAATCTTCTTTTTTGATTTTAATTATACTTGACATTTTTCTTCACTATGTAATGTGTTTAAATTAATATCAACTGTGGCTCATTTTTAATGACCGAAATCTTAATGATGACAACTTTAACCCAGATTTATTTTTGATCAGCCTGGCCCTTGCATTTAATGTCACTGTTGGAGGGAGTTTGAGAAGCTTAACAGAAATAGATCTGTTTAGCATGGTAAGGCAAACTTGAAATTTGTGTCAATACTGATTCTAATGATTAATAAAAGACATAAAAATCATCATTATTCAAATGAATAGCTGTCAGATTTGAATTTCAGTAAATGTGAATTGCTACTTTTCATTGTTGCCTGTGATCTGAATCAGTCCATGATAGTGTGTGGATTAAGGTTGACTGACTTAGCTTTACAATGAGGATAATGGTGAAAAAGCATGCAAATGAAATTTAGTGTCTATGAATGTGTCATTACGTGCAAACTATTTGGCTTTCTATTTCTAGTTCTTCATATTCCTGCTCCTGATACGTCTTTGTGCACTGATATAGGTTTGGTTATCCAGTGACCTTATTTCAAATTACGCGTCAACTGAAATGTTCCCTTCCCCTCGCCATGTAATCATTGCTCAAGGTAACAAGCTGTTCCACACTCGGGGGAGATGCTGTGCATTCTGATTTGTCATGCACTGGGTTTGGACCCTGGTCACATAAACCCCAGGGAGCTCCCTAACTTCACTGATGCTGCCATGTTGGCACACATTCTAATGTTTTCTTGCAGCCATTTCTTCCTCCTTCATGAAGACAGAGGATGTTAATAGGAAAAGCAAAAGAATGAGTAAGCAGGAAAGGAATGACAAGATGAAAAAACTTTGTTTGGGAATGGGAATTCAAGGAGAAAAAGCAACTGGAAGGACAGAGGAAAACTGTTACAAAAGCAGGAGACAAACAGAAGAACAGATGAAGAGAGTTGAGCTGCAGAGGCAGAACTGCAGAGAGGCAAAACAGGAAGACATGTGGGAGAAAGAGACTCCGAGGCAGGAGAGGATAGAAGAAGGGGCGGGGGGTAGCAGGGCTGTCAGGTGCTGTCAGGATGATGAATGGGAGGCCAGTGCGGGCTGTGAGGGCTCTGATGGGAGCCGCTGAGCTTTACATCACTCTCCTGAGTGTTTGTGAAAGGTTATTAAAGGCACTTAAATCAGCGGGCTCTGACAAAGGCCCGCTACCGGCCACCAAACTGCCCCAAACTGTCGCCAATGACAGTGTCTCCTGAGTCAAAGCTCCCAAGCTACGACAAAAGAAAAGTAGCTGCACAGATATGGACATGCACTGAGAGAGGTGAGGAGGGGATGACATGCAGATGAATGGTCTTTTCCAGAAGAATAATGTAGTGTAAATGGGTTCAACAGTAGTCATCCATCATGACGGATGGTTCACAGCTTGGGAATAAGGTTACTGTCAAAATTAGTATCAACTGTGGCTCATTTCAAACAGAAACTGGACAATCACCATCTGTACTTGATGCATTTAATAATTTGGTTGAAAAATCACTGCAAGTATTTTTGGTTTAAAGTCCTCTTTAAATTGAAAAGACCAAGTTTTATTTTCATAGAAATGGTGAGTCAACCACTGCAGTAGGTTGTTTTCTAAAATCAGGTTTAACTTAATGCTGCAACCTCCCTGTCCTTAAGACACTCATTTCTCAAGCTGTTTTGACTCAAGGTCATCTTTAGCAGAAACAGGCTGAAAAATTGCTGCTGGGCTGGCAGATTTATTCACTTTACTTTTCAGAAAAGAAAACTTCAGGACAAAAATAAGACAGAGTTTATGCAGCACTAATACAGCAATGCCCAGCACCTTGCATTATTTTAAGTCTGTCTGTCTGGCCGTACATTTCATACGAGTTAAATAATTAAAATACATTTTGACTGATGCATTACCATATAAACTAGACTGTAACTTCTGTATATATGGCATTGTTAGGTAGTTTAATCATCGACACTGCAGTTTTATAAACTGATCTTTTTTTTGTACATTCTTAATCAGCAGAATAACTATAGCTGTAAAACAACTGTAGAGAACAAAAACCCCAACGTGTAGTTGAACAACCGTTTATTGTATCATACAATTTAACCAATCAAGTGAATTACCCCAAAACCATTGTGAAGTACGTCCACCTCTGCTTTCCTAGGCCACTATTTGGACAGGACACGACATGGTGTCAGGGTTTTTGGGAACTCCTGACCCCTCTCTCTTTTGGAGTAGGCACCTAAACCTTGAGACACTCAGAAACAGTCTGTGCAATCCAATTAAATGACAGACAGGTCTGAGAATGAGTTGGCAGAATGAGGTGTCCTTGCTACAGTCCTATAACAGTCTTGGTGTTGAAATCCAGGACACCAGAGGTCAAGAGCCAAGAACACAGAATAGATTCAGTTTTCCTCCTGCCTTTCATACACAACTGCTTTTTGAACTGAGTCATACCTTTTTTTTCAGAATATGGATTTTTATGTCAGGGTCGGTTTTGGGGTGGCAACAGTGTAAGAAAGTAGTGCTTGACTGTCCCATAAAGCTGTTCCAAAAAAGGCTGGAGGCCATTTCATGGTCTCTGATCCTCATTTTTCATTCAGCAGCATTAAATACTAGCAGGCCAAGACCCGCTGATACAAGAGGGCGAGGCTATCGAATGCAATTAGGTGGCGTTTTCTATGAAAAATCTGCAAACAATTCCAGCAGCAGAAAAAAAAAACCTTGGAATTTAGTGAATTTGTTCATGCCCCAGGGAGTATTTCAAAGGTAAAGTTGACATTGCAGCTCAACAAAACCCACTCTGAAAAGTCTCCTTGCTGCAAATCTATGGCATATAGGAATGGTGAAAATTCAATTTATTCATCTTCATGCCACTGCTGCAAGGAAAGAAAAATCTGCTAACTCTGTGACGGTGTTTCTATCCTGGAAGAGTTTTGGGAACTCTCACATTCTCTTCATACAGTATAAAGTTGCATACATCCTCACCTGGGAGCTTGCTGGCTTTTTTTAATTAATCAGCCTTGGTGGGGCTCCATAAAATGAGGATAACATACACAGGGCATACGTCATTGTCTCCTTCAGATGGCATATAATAACAAAAACTTGAATATATTCCATAATAAACAGCAATTAGCAGCACACATCTTTAAAAAATGTGAGTAAACTAAGAAATATCACAGCCTGAAAAGCTTCCAGGATATAAATGCTTGAGAGGAAGCCAAAAAGCATTTTTTTTATGAGTAAAACCAATGAGCTATAAACAATGCGTTGTTTTAATACTCACGCTCAGTCTGTCTCCTGCTTCACCATCCAGGGACGATTCTCTGTGTAACGCACTGAATTGGGAAATCCTCCTGCTGTCCTTCTCCAGGAGTGAGAACATATCGTGCTTGTAATAGTCCATGATTGACAAGGGCTTTCCCAAGCTGCTTCTCTTCAGGGTCTCCTCATTCTGGTCAACTGTGGACGGAGGAATTGGTTTAACAAAAAATACAGAAACAAAGGAAACTCCATACTTTGAGTTTAACATCTTTTAAGAGCAAAAACATGTCAAGCTCCTGTTTTTACAGGGAAAAAAGACTCAAAGAGCTTCATAGAAATTTCAGCCTGACCTGAGTCTCTCTTCTTAGTTCTGCTAATCAGGGTCCTTTGTGGCGAGCCCAAAGTGCTTCCGGTTCCCTCGGGTTCAGTCTCAGTGTCGCTGCTGCTGCCCGAGTACGTGCACACTAGCAGAACTCTTTCCTATTCGAAGAGTGAGAGACATTTTAATATAACATCAAAAAGCATTTTCAAAACCACAAAGCAGCACAACTATTCTGCCAGTCATACAGGGGCTAAAAACTGAATGGGAACAACAAAAATCATCAAATGTAGTCTTGTGCATAAACCAATTGTTGGCAAATTGTTGTTTTTGAACAAACAACTTCTGCCACACTGAACTGTATTTAAGTCCTACCATGTTCTTACTGTTGTTCAGACCTTCCTTTGACTTACAGATAAGTTTTATAACCAGATGTCTTACAAGACAGCTTAGCTTAATAAGAAAACAATATGCAGTGCTAATATATCTGTTATGATAAAAAATAGGTTTACCATCCTGCTCACCCCGAATAAAAGGACAATTTTTAACCACCTATACAGTAGAAACATCATCATCATGACACATTTAACACGAAAGTGTGTCAGTGACTTACACCAGACAAGTCATGGTCTTTGGGTTTCACCTTCCTCTCAGCCTCTCTCTTTTTGTCCTCAGTGGAGACTTGGCTGCGTGGGGCACAAAGACTCAACCTCTTTATCCTGATTGCATCTAAAAGTCAAAGAAGACAAAGGAGAAATGAGTCATTAGGTGTACGGTAAATAACAGAAATGGTCTCACCTCATATAATGTATAAAAAATGTGGGAAGAGGAAAACATCATTTGGATTCTTCTGAAGTGACAGTCTTTCCTTGGGCATACAGACTAATGAAACACAGGAGAACCTCTCACACATCCATTCGACCAAGACTCATCAGACTACCTACACATCCATTTTCTGCATATATGAACGTGGCTGCACAATATTCCAGCTATCAAACATTAATGGTGTCCACCCATGACTCCTGGCAGCCCAAATATAACAGCTTTCAGCTGTCGACCCTGAATGACACAGAGCTGCTTTGTTATCACTCTGCGTACCGCTGCCTCGGACAGATGCCAGTTTGTCTCTTTTAACATTCAGCTGCATTACAATAACAGAGGAGCAGAAAAACCTGCATCATGATCATAAAAGTCCTCTTGCTTTTTCTGTCTCACCTATTAGAAACAAACAATATGCCAGACACTGCTACCCCTCCTTTATCTTTGTGATGCTACATACTTTGATGATGTTAGAAAGGAAAAAAGGATAAAATATAAACTGAGGATTCACAAAATATGTTCTAATCAGCTCTGAAGAGTTGACAGGAACTGCAGCGACACACTGCTGCCACTGCAGTGCCACCGCAGCATTGATGTGAAATAGACACAGGCTAATGTCCTGTAAGCATAATTCCACGGGTGTGATCACTCGTCCCCGTGTGTTATTACAGCTTTAATCAGCCATCTGACTGCATCCGGCCCACCACCATTCTGTTGTACATCATGCACCCACCAAGGCAGAAGGCACTTTATTATCTATAGCTGTGTTAACATGCTTATCTAATTGCATTTGTTAAATTTCCTCAGGCCATGTCAGTGTACCGGTTTCTATAAGGACAATGAGTCAGATGTCAGAGTTGTTGCATTAGCTTCAGAATTAGCTGAGGAAACAAGATTCTTCTTTTAATCAGAATCAGAGTACGATAAACCAGACGACTTCCTCTTGTCTGCCTGTCTGTAGACCTTGAGTGCTCTAGAGAAAACTGTGTTAACATAAAGTACAGTGACATCCAACATTTCACTAATGTCTTGAAGCCTAAAACAAGCTGTCGGCTTTCAAGGCTTGGCACTTTGCTGTCTACTATAATAATAGTAGCTTTTACAACCATGCACTGCAATTTATTTTCCATCTTGGCTTTGAGAAATCCAATTAGAAACATTGTTTGCCATTCTTTTTGTCATAACCATCCAAAAATCAAGATCTCCAAGTTAGATCAGAGTAAAAATAACTGGCCACAAAGGGCAAAGCACTGAGGAATCAAGGGATTTACAGCACCACCAGTTACTATTACATTTCAGTCACAGAACTAATCATCTGTTTGTATGAAAGGTACATCCACAGCATCCATCCGGAACCAGGTCGCGGGGGCAGTAGTCCACAGCAATCATTGAAAAATCACAGCTGAACAACACTAACCACTGTTTTGAATGAATGTCCAGAATCCCCAGAAGCTCATTCCCAACGTGCAGCTATGTTTCCTAAACCAAGCAAATAGGCAGGAAATGACATTGCTCCTTGCCTGATTCTTACACATGAATCAAAATTAAATGTTTTATCAGTTACATTTGGACTATATTCAAATTAAATTCCAGTAGTTAACATTTACATATAAATCACAGGTTTATATTTTTCTTTCATTGTTAAAGACAAGTAAAAATATTTTTAAAGTGAGAAAAATGGCAGTGGCTCTGTGAGGTTGTATTTAAACATGATAGTGCTTTAAGATTATCATGCTAACATTCACACAGTGGCAATGCTGTCATGCCGATGTTAACAGGAATAATGTTTCACCTGTCCACCAGCATGATAGCAGGCTAAATTTGTTATAAGGTGACAAATTTCATCAGATGAACAGGTTGTCCACTCACCTGAGGTTGCTAATTTGGGCAGCTGGCTCTGAGTGTTCTGGCTGTTGCTGCTGCAGGTCACAGTGGAGTCGGACAGGGAGTGTCCCATGCTGATAGGGGCATGCAGGTGGGTTTTTGGGAGAGAAGGCACTTTCACATCGGGTTGTGAGGGATCAGGGTAACAAGAGGGAAGCTCCTGGTTGAGCTCAGCGGAGCCAGCGGTCATCCCATCAGGGCTGGATTCAGATTTAGGGATGTGGCGACTGCCAGCCCGGGTGACGGAATCAGGAAGAGGGAAGGTGCCAATCCCGCTGTCCAGGGTTCTCATCTGACAGCTGGAGCCTAAAGTGACAGGGAAATGAGTGTGACACTGGGACAAGCAGGGGACAACAACAAAGGAGAGGAAAGGAGAACCTTGGGTTTACATGCAACGGAAGGGGTTGTGAGTAAAGAGGGAATCTGTAGCAGGTTGAATAACATGTAGCCGGTAGGAAAAGAGAAAAAGACAGCTTTTTTTTAATTTAACATAGTAATGTTTAGGGAATACAATATGCCCAGTGAATAGGTGGTGGAGGCTCCATCCAGATGCACCTTAACCCTATCTTCCTATCAGATAGTCCTGTTACAGAGATCTGTAGTGCACAATTCTAATTTAGTAGAATAATTCAATATGACACAAGAAAGCACCTGCAGCCAGCAATTCTGAACAAAACACACAACTGAGCTGCAACCTGAGGACGTGCTCCTCAGATTCATTAGAGTGCTTGATGGGCTGGACTGAGTTAAAATGACAGCAAGTAGCAACAGATGGACGTTGTTTGCAGAGCCTTTGCTCAGATGGGAACAGATGGATGGTCAATCAACACAGCCAGGTCCCTGTAACTGTGAACACTAACAGCCAACAGTTACACTGGCTAATTATTAGTGTCTGCAATAATTTGATGAGAAAGAATTTGTAAAAGTAAAAAGGCAATCAATCTTTTCTATGCTGCTGTGGGAAATGTTTGACTGAAACACAAATCCTTTACATTCTATCTTCTGCTGTTGACCTTGGAGATCCTGCTTCTTCTGCAGCCATCAAGTCTGCCTCTCACAATATTGGTGTAGTTTGTAAAAACAGATGATTTTTTTTTCTATTTTGTGAACGTGTATCGATCTCTACAGGCTCTGCTTTTCAAATGCATGGCCTCGTCTTGATGGGATGCAGGAGCAAAGTCGGCTCAGAAACATTTCCTTCTACAAATACAGATCCTCTCTGAATCCCACAGGGCATTACAGTTGAGTTTAAAGAGAGTTTGGAAAGAGGAAAAGGGGCACAATTTTTAGAATCAGTTTATTCCTAAAACAGTTACACTTGGGTCTGAAGGTAAAACTATCGATCCATTTTCTCTGGAACACTTTGCTCACTAAGGCTTCACAGAGGAAAGAATTTAAGGACTTTCAAGAGTTCAGAATTTCTTGACAGAAACTTGTGTCGAAGTTCTTGTTTATGTGTACATTTTGTTTTTATCTGACGTGCTCCGGACATTCAACACCATGCTGCACATAATGAATCTGTGAAAATGAGACCTCAGTGTTTAGATATACACAACAACATGTTCATTGGACAGATGGCCCATTACTAGTGCACGTCACAGGAGGACAGTTACTGTGAAAGAATTAAAAGTGAAATAAACATCCAGAGTTTTACAATTGTATGGTGTGGTTGATGTACACACATGTACTTTTTTGTGTGTGAGAAAGTGAAAGATAGAAAGAGCTATAGATTACACAGCTGTATAATTGAATGCCAAGCCTGGCAATTCAAAATGCCCTCTATAACCAAACTATAACAAGGTCCACAGTAATTCTACCCAGCGGCAACAATAACTGGACATAATCTAGTTTTTCATGAGCTCCCTATCACTTCTGTATACAACCTCCAGGCTTTGAGGGACGAAAGCTGCTTTGTTGATACCTTCACTGTGTGAAATTGGCTCCACACAATGAGGAGGTGTCAAAGGGAAAAGAGAGAGGCATCACTAACAACCTTAATCTTATCTGGGAGATATTTCTGTATCAGCAATCAAATTAAAAAAGAACAACAACTGAAACAGCTTGTTGCCTGTTAAATGTCCATAAACTGGACAGTGTTTTCATCCCAAAACACAGTATGAACTAGAAAGTACATTGTGAAAGCCAGAAACCTTCGTGAACAGTGAACATCTTGCTGAATCACTGGTATTGATCAATGATGCCATCAAACCCCGTCAGACATATTAGGGTCATTCTGTGCTTCGGGCCAGTCAAAATATTATTTATCGTCCCTTTATGAGAAAAAATACTGCCTGGAGGGAAGTTATTTCTAATATATAATATCTGACCAGTGTTGAGTGAACTTCAAAGTCCACATTCATAAGTGAGCATGGATTTTGCTTAAGCTGCTTGCATCATAAACTGGCTGGATGTAAACTGTTTATATGACTGATGTGCTTGTCTGGCACAAGGCCTGTGAATGCTACACTTTGGAGAGGCGTGACATTAACGCAGCGCGGAGGAGCAATGAGCTACCGCAGCTGAAACCTTTATGAAATATTTAATTCATACTGTGTGGAAATGCTTAGTTGGCAGAATATTAAAAAGGCAGCCTGTTAGTCAAAACACAGAAACAATTAAACATTTTATTTTTAGTGTGTATGTCTCACCCATCATGAGCTCATGGAAATGTTTTGATTAGTTACTTTGAAGCCAGTAAATCTTCAAACTACACTTCAAACTATTTCCACCAACATTCAAAACACATTTACTTTAATTATAAGAAATGACATGACCCACTTAAATTATTTCACAACCCCCAATATTTGTATATATATATCCTGGATATAAACAGTGCCATGATGCAAAGCCACAGTGCAACAACCAGCTGCTACAACCTGCTACAGTAAGCTAACTAATGTCAAGTAAAACTGTCAGATACAATGACGCTAACTATTACTTAGAAATATTGACTCAGTGTGGTTTTAAATAACAGTTGCTTATTTGCACATCCAGCAGATGCAGCACAATATTAGCATTCACTTGGATTTGTGTGGACCTGAAAACTATGAGGGCTGCAAATCAAGCCAGCACTGAGAAGCTGTGGGCTTAAAAACAAAAGCACTGAGCTTAAAGATGCTTCAGAGCCTTGCAAAGCTAAAAGGAACTTCAGAATCTGGTGATAAAACTGTGAGCAACCTCTTTTACATACAAGCAGTGATGTCACTATGGTAGCTTTAAATGAATGAATAGTTTCAACACTTCATGTATTTGATTTTAAAACTAATGATATTAAAGCTTGGGAATTGAACCTTGAAAACTCTGGTTTAGGAAATACAGTTTATTTGGACAAGACTAAAACTATGATAAAAACATGACTTCTTTCCAAAGACTGGGCCCAATTGATAAAAAACAAGCATCCATTTCAGCTCATTCCAATTCACTGGCTGTATTACAAGAAATATGACCTTAGACCTTTGAGATGGCTCACATAGACAATTTATCATTTACCCCACTGAGTGGCAACTGACACACTACACTCCACATCCAGTAAACAGCAGTTACAAACTAAAATGCAAGACTGTTGCACTGTAATAATAACAATCATCACCCCGTCTCACAGTTTGATGCATCTATTTCTTTATTTCCTTAGATGCTCAGGTTGTAAAATATCACCTTGTTGCACATCAATCACCTGAGTAGACTGTGAACATGGTGTTTTCAGGTGCTGATAATTCCCCAAAGTAATAGCAAGTCTGGCAGTGAGGAGAATCAGCTGGCAAAAGAATTGAGTTGTCAATCAAATCCGGAAATCACAACTGTAAAATGCTTGGCTGCACCGGTTGATATGTGATTGTTCGTGACAGCTTTTCATAAGCTACTTGAAAAACAAAAACTGTACTGAATGAGGTAAACACTTGCAAATATGGCACTAAGTGGATTAAATCAGACAGCATGAATGTTTAACACAGTGGAAGTGACAGATCAAAGGTAGAATGAGGGAATATTTCACACAAGGATGTGAATCATTTTGGTGACACGGATTGTATTTGGATTACACAGCTGAATTTAATTCAAAGTGTATGAAACAAAATGCAATAAAACATTATGAGCTTCCAGATGACACTACCCAAACAGGATGTGCCTCAAAAGCTGTGTGGTTTTTGGAGAGGGTTAGTATATAATTAATAACCTGAGCTGTTTTTGGTGAAATGTCTCTTTATGAACAACAGTTATGCAGAAGCTTACCTATCATGTGGTCTTGACAAGTTGTGTCAGGAATGTGTCCCTCTTCATTTTCAGCCCTCAGCTTGATCTTCTGAGTCATTATAAGAGCCTGAAATATTAACAAAAAAAGGAGCTGAAATACACCAAAATGCATAAATTATACCATAATAAACAGGCAAGTGTACCAAAGGTACCTCTTGCTAAAAGGTGATACACTGTATATTATATCCATTTATAAAACTCCCTGTATGGAAAATTGCAAAAGAAAGTGAGAATGAAAAGGATCTGTTATGGCACTTACAGATTCATGTATTATGTGGCTGTCCACAGACAATGTTTTGCATTGTGAATCTGGTTTAAAATATTGTTCAAAAAGTAAGTGTCATACTTTCTTGCCTTACTTTAATTGGGTTATTTTTTTTAAGTGGTGTGGGGGTAGTGCAAGAGGAGCTTGTAGGTCATAAAGTGTCACTCTTTTGTTGTATTTCTGTGGGGAGAAGATAGAAGAAAGGCTTGGGGGATGGTATTAAATGGCCCTTTTGTCAAATTGACTGCGTGCGATAAGCGGCTCCTCTATGTTATCGAAATTCCACATCATCTGGATTAAATTTCCTACATTATGCAGTGAGACTCACTCTTAGTCATTCTCCTCCTCCATTCAGCCCGCTCCTTTTACTTTTTTCTTTTTTTACTGCTGTCTTTCTTTTCTCAGCCTCTTCATCATTTTTTAGTCTTCTGACTGACACATACTGAAGAATAAACCCACAAGGTCATAATTTTAGGCTTTTGCTTACAAAGTGCACTGCCACGATTTAAAGAATCACGCTGAGAAGCCTGAGTTTGTATTACATGCAGGGCCTGACAACTGTCTCTGTGTGAGATATGGCTTAAAACCTCCAGCCTTGTGGAACAGACATCAGCCAAGGTAGATAATAAAAAAGGTAGGCGATGAATTGTAGGCCGAGTAAGAACACAATGTGAATCAATACTGAGCCTTCAGGGGGCATGATGCTGAAGAGGCGGCCGCGTTGTGGAAGTATTTGTGAACATGTACATACCGTACAAGTGTGAAAACCTGTGTGTACAGTATGGGTGTGTGTGCCCATGGCCTGCCCAAACGGTGCAGAGAAAAGCAAGCAGAGCTAGACACAGACACTGCTACGATAAAGTCAGTGGTGTTCTATTATGGTGGTATGTTTGCTGACTTACAGTAGTATCTGGGCAGATCTCCACATCTCCCTTCATTTCACTGTGTTTCTTGGGTGTGGCGATCCCAGGTGGTGATGCAGCCACAGAGCCCTTCACTGCAGTCCTGCCAGGAAAGGAGAGACTTGATCTGTTTTAACATCTGCGTGTCAAGATCCTCTTTTATCAACCCACCAGGTGAAAAGTGATCTCAGTGATAAACTGAATTGACCTGATATTTTGCTTCATGATAGTGCACACAAACATACTGTAAGTATACACCCCTACACACAGAAATGCCATCAAATCTTAACCTCTGTGAAGTGCTCCCTCTCAAGTGATTGCTTGCAGACACTCAGGATACAAATCTGTCAGCTGTGCTCTGATGTGACAAATCAGTGAAGTGAGGGATCTGAAATGTTTGATCTCTCCTGGCTTAAAGATGCTTTACCTTGAGTGTGATGACCATGTGCCTGGATGCTGGTCCAAGAGTTTCGTATGCTCACTGAAGTGGAGTCATAACTCAAACAGACAGCTGCTGTTTGTGCTGTTAATTAATCAGTTCCTCTGAACACACACGTTTAATGCAGTGATGGCTCATGTTTAATTTAAGAGAGTTTGTTTTAAAGTGTCAAGTAACTTGATAGAAAGACAGCTCTGAGAAGGCTCAGTGACAGGAAGTAATCAGCATGGCAACCAATCAATTAAGGAAAATTCATCCTTGATTTTCTTGATGACAAAGACATTACTTTACCCACCTGCCAAGAAGCTCTTTGACAAGCTGGTCTTTGCCAATAAAGGCTGTTGTACACTGGATCTGACTGGCAATCTGACCCATCTGATTGTTGCAATGGTCCATGATGGAGCTCAGCTTGTTGTTCATCTCAGGCAGATTCTGCGCCTCCTGACTGTCTTTCTGTTGGTTCTCATTTTTTTTCTTGTCTTTCTTCTTGTCAGACTTCATCTGTTTGCCTCCAAGCACTGATCCAATCTTCAGCTCTTTTTTCTCTTCTTTTCCCTTCGGGGAGTCAGCTTTCTTACCACTCAGAGCTGGGAGTTTGCTCTTGCGGAGGCCAAACCAGTTTGCCAGAGAGGGACCCGTCTTCTGTTTGGTCTCATTGGCAGCAACCTTCTCTTGTTCTTGACATTTCTGCACATTCTCTTCAATTCCCATCATGACCTTCTCTTCGATAGTGCAGGCTGTGGGGCTGATTTTTTTGTCCTCCATATTTGGGAGTTTGTTTGGTGTGTTTGTCTGGGACTTGATTTCCTTGCTGAAGTCTGGCTCACTGGTGGTGGTTGCTATGCCTCCTGTCTCTCGCACTGGGTTTTCCGAGCTATAGACACAAGGGGACGGAGGCTGAAACTCTGGATGAGAGGCAACATTTGCTGGCTTATGGATGTTGTTTGAACCAATCCTGTCACTGATGGGCAAAGTACACATCTCTTTTTGTGATGGTGAGGTGACTACCTCCCCCTTCACTGTGCATGGCGACCCCTCACCTTTGGAGCCTGATTTAGACATTCTCTCAGGGATGACGTTGTGACTATTTGATACTGACATGCCTCCATAGTGGCTAAGTCTGGTCCTTGGAGAATGAACAGGGCTCTCAGTTGACCCAAAACTGGGCACCTCCAAGGAGCTCTGTCTTGACAGAGAGTTCCCCCTTTCACCTGAGTTGGTGATGATCTGTGTTCTCATTTTTCCTGGTCCATCTATGACACTAGTGTTGGGTTTCTCGATGTAGTTGGTGCTGAAACTCTGGCTACGGGCTTTGGCTCCATTCATCCCCAAGGCTGGCTTTAGATGAGGTTTGGTAGTAACAGATATAGATCTAGAGAAGAGGTGACTACTTCTTTTCCCTTTATCACAAACACCCCCATCCTCTTGTAACACAGCAGCATGTACGTCCTCTTCCAGTAGCCCACTTTGGGCCTCAACTTTTCCCTCTGTGATGGGCATCTTGGGTGCTGAATCAATACTGTACACTGGCTGCAAGCTGTCACACTGGGTAGATATATTTGAGGTAACAGTCTCCTTAGAGACTGAATTGATGTGATCTTTCTCTTGCTTATCTGGTATAGAGGAGCTATTTTTATGGCTGGGGGGAGATTTTAAGAATGCTTTAAACCCCATTGGGATGCGAGTCTTTGAGGCTTTTTCTACCACCTTAGGGGATATCATAACTGAGCTGGGTGGGCTGACTACAGCCTTACCATTTTGTGGCTCTGGTTTACCTTGAGTGGTTTTCTGAAGTGATACAGGTAAACTAATAGTGCTCTCTTGCACTGTCTGATGAACTTTTTCCTGGCTAGATTCTTTCTTATGTGCAAATGATTTCTGAAGTGCGGAGCCTCTGAGATCACTGTAAGGAGGAGGGACATTCTTTGAGTTTTTAGGTGCATTTTCAGATTCTGGAGCACACCCTGAGTTGGCAGAAGGGAGGTAGTCTTTTGTGGTCATCCGCTTGGTAGTGCCTTTAGTAGATGTCTGAGTCAGGGCAGGGGACTCCTGAAGGTGCTGACTGGTTTTATCAACCAGTTTCTGAGGTGCAAGTGCAGTCCCATAACCTGCATCCAAGTCTAAACAGTCTTTATCCTTGATGGGTAGTGTAGTTTGCATATTTGGTGCAAGTGAGGTGTAGTAACTTGGGGGAGGGCCCCTCACAGTGGTTGGTGTTGATGGTTGAGCTACCCCTGTTTTATGTGCAAGAGGTGACCCTTCATAATTTGGTCTGATAAGTAAGGAGGTGGAGCGGCCTGGGGGAGGGGGAGGAGAAGGGGACCTGAGTTTATTTTTGCTGGTTTCACAAAGTGTGTCTCTGCTTGGCTGTTCGCCATTGTCAGCATACTCCAGGTGTCTCCGTGAGAGGTGTATGGAACTGGAAGAGGAGCCCTTACTCCAGTCAGCCTTGCCAGGGAGCTTGGGGTTTACCACCTTTGGACTCTGTGAGCAGTTTCCTGGTGTTTTGATGAACTTGGACATTTTAACTGTAGGAGAGGAGGGAGATTTTTCCTGACCAGAGGGTCCTGAGTTTCCACTGTTATTTGGTTGAGTGGTGGAACCCTTAGACAATCTCAGTGGGGAGCCTGACGGTTTATTATGGCCAGGGATCATTGAACCACTTGACTTGGGACCAGCAGAATCATTCATGGGAGGGATAGAATGGCCTTTATTAACTTGGCTGTTTGGTGGCTTGATTAATGTCCTTTGTGGAGTCAACTGCATTGACAGCCTCTCTGCACTTCCCTCCCTGCTACTGCTTGCTTTGCTAGTCCCAGTCTGATAATCAGATGGCTTCTCTGGAGACTCTAGAACAGCATAGTTTCTTACATTTGCTGACTTTTGCCTTGTTGGCTTATCTTGGGGCACTAGCTCTGTGTAATCAGCAACTACTTTGCTAGCTTGAATGTCATTGTGAGCCACGGGACTTGCTGCAAGTTTCTGTGAACAAAGTCCAATAGACTCTCCTACATCAAATATCACCAATTTGCTCTCCTCAGAGTGAGTACATTTGACCTCTTTGGGCTCCTTAATTACACTTATAGGCCTGGGCCTTTCATCTGCAGACTGGGTTTGTCCCTGGTCTCTTTGCAAGCACTGTTGTGCAAGCAGCTTGGAGGCATCCCATGACAGCCTCTTGGAGTCCCTCTCTGCTTGCAGCGGTAGCAGGCTAAAGGACATATGGATCTCAGTGGACTCAGACTTGAGTTCCCCTGGATCATCCACATCAGAGAGGTGATTGGAACCCTCTGGCTCAGAGGGACTGAAGTGCAGCCTGGATGGCTTAGTAAAAGCTGATGCCTGCCCTCCCTCAGGGAGAAAACTGTTGATGAAACTCATGAGTTTCTCTGGACGCTCTTTTGAGTCATAGCCAGAAGGGTGTTTTGTAGCCACAGCACCTGAGTTCCCATTACCTCCACCTCCACTGTCCTGTATTCCATCCCAGCTACACAAACTGTCTGAGATGCTATGGAAGCGCCTTTTACAGTACAGCCAGCTGTCCTTAGTAGGGATGTTAACTCCATGACCCGAATGTACCAGTTCATCATCTGCATCATCAGAATCATAAGAGAACTTCTTGCCCCCAGCAGCTGAAGTTCTACCCACATGGGTAGGCTTGGACACCCCTTTACTGCTACTTTTGATACCCAGGGAGTAGATACCCTCATTGGAGTTCATGCAGTCTTTGTAGCCTGACTTGGAGACCTTGGATGAAGAAGAGGAGCTTCTGTGCTTCCTGCTCTGGAGCTTTTTCAGTCCCTCTAGTATGTGGCTCTCTTTGTGCCTTGTGGGCAGCTGCTCCTCCACAGGGGCACAGATGTTACTAGGTGCTGATGAACCCAAACTCAGCCTCTTCTCCCAGGTCAGAGATGACTATAGAACAAAAAGAAACTAATGGATCAGTCTCAAAAATTTTTGTTTTAGCATGTGCACACATTCTTCATGTACATATTGCTTTCATAACCCAAATTATACACAGCAACTGTTTTGAGTTGTTATAGTGAATACGATGATCTTATATGCATGATAAATAAAAAATCTGAATGAGTCGCGTTTCATATGCAAACAAAGAGGGAATTTTTCAAGCTGTATTGACCCATGTTAAGGCATTGTCATCCTTAAATACAAAGAAAAAAACATTCAATTTTGTATGGGGCCTCTTATCTCCACTTTATTGTAATCAGCATGCTCAGCATAAAGTATTAATTAGAGTCTCACAAAAAAGACAATAAAAATCTTAACAGCTCCTAAGCACCTCTTACAGGAATCTTGATGAGCTACCACTTGCTACTATTTGGTGGAATTGGTGTCAGGGTTTATAGACTAAAGGAGGTTACCATTTTCCCACAGGAGCGTCCATCATTCCACGTGTATGAGCCACTGGAGAATTCACTGCACGCACTTGACAAGGACAACTCGCTGCTGCTACAGCTGCTGTGTGGGTACACAGGCACTGGCACTGTCAGACTTAGCTGGCTCAAACACTTCACCATAGGGAAACCTGCCTTTCGATTCAACTGAACCTCCTACGAGACAAAGAAAGGAGTTAAGGCATTATAGTGGAAAAACATAAGCAGCATCACTGTCGTCGTGAAAGGATTCTTGAGATAGGCAAACTGTGTAAAGTTGCTTGCCTCAGAAGAAAAGAAGAGCACATGGAAATAAGAGAGTCATTGTGTCAGGGGGTTAGAGCACATGGAAATAAGAGAGTCATTGCGTCAGGGGCTTTAACTGTACTGTACATCTTTAACTGTCAGATATGGAAGATATCACTACTCCCTCCTACAACTAGATCATAAGTCATTCTAAAGTACTCTTGTAGCTTTTCATTTAGCTTCACAAGATTTTCATGTGACTAACCATCAATAATACGTGATGTGTAAGTTGTTGGGTGGTGTTGCAGATCTAACTGGCATCAACAGCAGTAAGCTTGACAGGTAATGCTACAGCACTGCATTTCAAAATCAAATGTATGTTCTTGTGCAGTCACCACAACGCAGCACATGTTTATCATCTCACTTCAGATAATTTGAATATGCAAATCCATTAGAAAATAAGCAGGCAAGTAGTAGTAGGCAAGATGAGCTATAGGATACATACACATTATATTTTATGAATCTCATATGCTGTAAGTGCCACTTGTGTATATCTCATAATGCAACCTATTTAAGGAGAAGTCGAACTTTTACACATTTGATAACAAGGGCATTAATAATTCACATTGCAGCCGTTATTATTTAATTTGCTCCCTCTTCTTCCACTCTGATAGGACACATTAGAGTCTATCAGGTGGCATTCTCAGAGGGGGAAAAGGGTAAAAGAATAGAGAGTACCCATTTTTAGTTCTTAATACATAATACATAAGGAGACTAATGCACCACAGTGTCCTATGGAGTCATTTTTACTGACAACAGGTCTCAATCGATGGTTTTCTGGTAATATGACAATGATTTATTCCTCTTAGTGCCAAGTGATACTCCAGTCCTTCTGCTGAGAGCAGAGGAGGGGGTCACAACTTCAGATGGTTAGGTTTGTATTTTAATATCTTGTAATGATTACTTGCAGGGGTGGGGTTGTGGTTATGCTACTTCGATGAGTCATATGGCTGAACAGAAAAATACGTTGCCTTTTGCAGGTTGACCATTATGCTTACATTAGAAGGATTGTCTGTATTCCTGGAAAGCAAGAAGGCCTTGCTTCTCTCTGGCTCCAGAAGCAAATCTGCTGCAGACAGATCCATGATCCGAGAGTGAAGTTTCTGAAAGGCAAAAGACAAACAAAAAAACAAAAAGAACAGACAGTGTGAATTTTGACACTGGGAATCTCAAGAAATTAAAGACAGGCATGAAGATTTCTGTCATGGTACAAGGGATGATCTGAAATTATTTTTGTAGCATCTCACTGCTTTAAATTTTGATCAAATTGACAGTATGCTGTGATTTTTTTAGCACTCTGTGATTCCTTACAGTAAACCTACTGAATTATAAATGTCAAAAATGCATTCAAAATATAAAAAATAAATAAATAAATGAAGCAATTTAACTCTTTCCTAAAATCTCAACCAGCTGTACTGTATGTTGAGATAGAGCAATATTTTGCTGGCCTTACAAAAGCACATCAGACTCCCTCCACTGATGCCATGCAGAGCCCTCATTCTTACCCTTTGCTCAAAGTCATTAATGTCATCAGACTAATGTGAATAGAAAATAATTGCATCAGGGAGTAAGGGATTCCTTTGATTTATTTATTTATTTCCATTCCTGTGCTTGCCTGGAATCCGTTCTGTTATTTAACTCTTGTGCTTTAGAGTGAAGCATGCGAACCCAAATACATTCCATGTATTAATCTCAGAACTTAATTATTTTCTAATTAAAATGAAAATATGCTGAAACAAAACACTTAATCTTATGCTGCATTTCCTGCCAAGGGTAAAACTAATAGAAACTACTGGAATGCAGTGAAAATATACACACATAACCTCAATGTATATATAAAGTACATATATATATCTATATATAAGCAAAACACACTTCTCTTGCTATGCACCTGCAGAAGAAACATATCTGTCAAGAAAACTATATGTTACATAAGTGAAAGTCAGCAAATGGAATCTGAGCTTCGAAAAACCACATGGATATTAAAATGAAAAAAATCCTCAGTATTACAAAATTATAATAAATTCTTTTCTGACAGTTTGTACTGACTGTGCCCTGTGACAGATGTACTCTCAACATTAAGGTGAGAAAATGGCTCCTAATGATATCAACACTTAACTGTTTCTTTTGTCTCTTAAGAACAAACAAGCCGCTTCACTTTGCCTGTGGCCAATACACAACCATCCTACGCTTTTCTCTTCAACTCTGAGAAAAACAACCAAGGAAAAAGATTTTTTTTGCATTAGTGCAAACCTGTGTATATGCTGTGAAAGAGACTGGCTTTTGACTGGTGGGAATGGTTCCATGGAAACAGATCAATGCCCATTTTAAGCACTTTTTCAGCACAGAGATAAGGATAAGTATTTATTCCTCACTCTGAGCAGGGCACTGTACTGTATAACCTGGTTTGGTTTTGCTCAAAGGCAATTATAGTATCCAGAGGAGTTTTTATCTTTTCCTGATCTAACTTCATCGATATGTGAAATACAGTATGTATGCACCTTTGGTCTATACACTGTAGCATTAGGCATAGCTTCTCTCAAAAGTAAACATGCTATAAAAGTGGATTTGTGGGATTTTAACTAGTTTGGACTCAAAGTTCCAGATGACTTCTCTTGCCAGTTTTAAAAAACTGAAATTTGTGCAGCTCTGATGCCGCATCATGGGGCTCCCTGATGTCCACAGAGGATGGGAGTGGCTGAAGTGTCATGAGAGGTTCTGATCTTATCATAGGGTGCTGGATTTCACCTCCTCAGCATCCTCATCAAGGATTCAGTCAATAATGTCACAGGGTCATGAGGAAAGATAGTTGAAGGAAACAGTAGATGACAGTGTTGGGTGTATGCTTCTTGAACTTTTTGAAGTTCATGTAAGGTTAATTGTGACCCATTAATACATGCAAGACTGTAATATAGCATGCAAATACTATGTAATTTATCATGCAAATATTGGCTATTTATTAACTGTTAGCTAATGTTTTGGATAATTGGGAAGTTATGTGTCATAGTGAAGAAAAGGCAGAGGCTTCCTGTTTTTGTTCTTTGTTGTTTTTGGCTTGACAGTGGTCATATTTCAAAATAATGAATTATCAGCCCAGAATAGCAGCAATAGGCAGCTTCCAAACAAATACATCAGTATTGGCACCAGCTGTCAAAAACACATTGGCTGAACCATCCTACAACACACCCATGCACACACACAGCAGCAGCGTGACAAGAGAAAACACCAACCCACACACAAATACATAAATTCATACACCCACTAATACACATGGTGCTCACCTGCATGGCCTGGCCAGAGTTTCCTAAGCTTCAGCTACTGTACACACAGCCTGCTTAACTACACCAGGACAAAAGCTCAGCTGTAACATGACAATATGAAAAGCTGAAGGTGAGCTATATGGAGCACTATTAAAAAATAGAATATTTCAAAGGCTCCACTCTGCCAATGTTGGTATACAAATGAATTCTTGAAAAGTGGCATAATTTGTTTAAAATCTGCGATTTTTAAACTTTTGCACAGAAACTTTTTAGCTGACTGCCACGGCAAAACTGTAACAGCCGTAATGAGGTCATGGCGACTGTGTCCTTGGGGCCCTGAGGTAGCTTACGAAGGTGTTTGTCCCAGTAATGGGCGACTCACTTCCCACTTGCCTGTTATGTTTCATAAGCAGCGCAAGTGGATGAGACTGCACACAGATCATTTTCCCTTGGCTTGCAAATAGTGCAAGGTTTGAGAAAGCCATCGTTTTTTAAGTTAATGTCAGATTTTTCTGAAATGAATCTGTGCCTTTATTTTTTTTAACAAAACAAATTCAGCTACAGGCAGTGAAGGAGCTTGACTGGTGTAGTTACAAGCAAACACATTATGGTTCTTTATCAGAGAAACCCAAGATGTCCACAGGGAACCAGAAATCGTTTAATTACTGATAAGCAAAAGGTCCATAGGTACATGGGAAATAGAACACTCATGTGGGCGATTAAGTCTGTGTCTGCTTGAAGCTCCAGGAGAAAAAATTAATGAAAACTCACCCTGGCTATTAGACTTTGTTAACCTCTAACCAAAGCAAAGCTAACCAGCAGCTGGTTGTATAAGTGAAGCTTGCAAAAATGTCAATTATTTTAATTTGTACAAAGGCTCCTTGAAAATCAGCTCCAAAACAAAAAGAATGTAAAAACACATTGTCCATCCATTATCTATACAACTTATCCTGATAAGGGTTGTCGGGGACTGGAGTCAATCCCAGCTGACACTGGACGAGAGACGGAGTACACCCTGGACAGGTAGCCAGTCTATCACACTTACATGGACAGGTCGCCAGTCTATCACACTTACGGACACAAAACCACACACACTCCTGTGGCCAATTTAGAGTTACCAGTCAATCTGAGCTGCATGTCTTTGGACTGTGGGAGGAAGCCGGAGTACCCGGAGAGAACCCACGCAGGCATAGGAAGAACACGCAAACTCCACACCGAAAGGCACTGGGTCGACCAGGGCTGGAACTGGGAACATTCTTGCGGTAAGGTGACGGTGCTAATCATTGCATCACCACGCCATCCTAAAAATACATTGTGATCTCTTTACAGAGCCAGACTAGCTGTTTCCCCATGTTTCTGTTCTTTTTCTATCAATAAACTGTCTGCTGGCTGTAGCTTCACATCTAACAGATACAGTAGGAAAGCAGTATTTTCAAAAATGTCCCACTAGTGCCAGCTGGCTGGCTGGTTGGTTGGTTGGTTGGCTGACAGACAGATAGACAGATAAAGTAAAAAAAAAAAACCACGAATTACATGTTGTTGGAAGTTTGAGTCCTCTGCAATGTGGATAATTATTAGATGTTTTTAACGGCTCTCCCACTCATGAAGTATGCACTGAACATCCGGAACAGCTTGATCACGTTATGATTAATTCTTCCCCTGAATTACTAGTTGATGGCAAAAATGCCATTACTAAATAATGAGCAAAAATTTTACAGTGGGGAAAAACCTATGTATAAACGCTGCAGCAACTTTTTGTGCCACTGATAAGATGCGTCATAAAATGGACACACACATAGACCTCAGTCAGTACTGCACTCGATACTTTTGCCCACAGACACACATAGACCTCAGTCAGTACTGCATTCGATACCTTTGTCCACACAGTCTCAATGGGAAAACATTACATGATTTAATTCCTTCTGACTCGTTTTAGTTTCTTTTTGCCTCAGTTAAAAGCCAATGCAAAATAACTCTTTCCTGTGTCTGAGTGCCTTAATTCACACTTCCATCTAGATTTCACCTTTTGGTCCCCACAGTGGAATCATCAATATCCCTCTTCAAGCCTTTTATATTGCAGTCATTGACAACAGTAATGACACTGGAACTGACAGAGATCTTCACAACACACCCATATTCCTTTTCCTTTATCTTTACTTTTTTTAATCCCTTTAGTCCATTTCTGCACTTCTTATTTTTCCCTTAGCTTTTCACATCTACCGCTTTGTCATCTTAGCAATCATGCTTCCCTGCTATCTCATCTCTCTCCATTTCATCCTCCCATCCTTCTCCTCTTATCTACCCTTGCATGCCTCGCCACATTTCATCCTCATTTCTCCTCTTGTCATCTTCTCCTCTAGTCTAGATGGACTGACAGCTCCTTGTTCCTCTCTCTTTCATTTTGCTAGCCTACTATTTTTATATTGACAGCTAGCAGCCCCACAGCAGTTTGCACAATTATGTGAAACCCTCCTTTCCAAACTGAACTTATTGCTCTGCCATGCTATATCACTGCTGACAGTAGATGGTAAGGTGCACAATCGCACGTCGCCCTGTCTCATAATTACACCTTAAAAATCTGGCTGGAATGCCCACACAGTCACTTTTCAGTAAATTGGTGTTTTCCAAAGGACCAGAAAGATGAACTGAGGCAATTTTCAGCCACTCCAGATGAGAGAATGAAGACTTTGTGGACAATATAAGTACAGCAGTCGCTGTCTGATAGTTACAGCATCCTCGACTTGAAACTCCAAAAATAAGAACATTAAAACTGCACATACACAACTTCAGACTGAACAATGATGTGTGATAAACCAAAACAACTACAAGAGATCTGCAGTATGCGTTAGGGTCCCTTTATCTGTGCATCAAAACAGATCTAAACAGCTTCTCAGAAGAGGAGAAGATTGATTAAGAAACTGCTATAAAAGAGGACGTTTTTTGTATCCTAAATCAAAGCTTTTACTTTTTTCCACATCCATCTGCTGCTGAGACTCGAAAGCAGTTTAATAACAACTTGAATGATAAACAGCTTCAAATGTATGAGAATAAGATCTTGGTCTCATTTACTGG